GTCATCATTTACCCAGAATGCTTTGTGTGTAAATAAAATGGCTCCGTCCGTGTTAAAATATATTTCCAAAAATTTACAAAACTACAGTATCTTTACAGTCTTTATTTTACAGTTAAAATATATGTTTATCAAATAAAGTCTAATGTTACAACTAATCAAGGATCCCTTTAAAAGTTAAAAGCAAGTTCATTTATTTCATATTAACAACAGTGTTTACCTTGTAATCGAGGAATATTATTGGACCACGTTCAAATCAACAATTCTCACAAAAACCTCCAAAAATTATGTTTATTAAAAATCCAGGTAACTCTGTCAAGCAATAAAAAAGGAGAAGAGCAAGCTGTACACAAAGGATTTGGCCTCCTTTGTGCTCAGTTTGAATGTTTTGGTGCAAAAAATCATTTCAGATTTATTACTTGTGTCATATTTTGTGTGTAGTTTTCTTGAGCTTTAACTACTGCAAACACAAAACTGGTGTGGTCCACTTCTTTATCAGAACAGTTTGTTTATGACCAACTAGGATTGCCCACTGCCTTTCATGCCAGCGCTTTAGACCAAGWATCTAATGTTGAGATGTCTTTCTGGAGGTTTTCAGTCACTGCTCARCTGATGTAAGAAAGGTTCAAACTGGTGTTAAAGAAACAACATGATTTTTCTATCCACCGAGAGAGAAAACTACCTCCTGGTTGCTGCGACCTGCCGTGTTTTCCTTCAGCATGGCCTCTGCTGTCAGGTGACGATACTTCTCTGAAACAGGCAGCGCGATGGAGGCCATGGTCTGAACTTCAGCCTTCACATCCTGGGCTGAACCCGACGACGAGAGGAGCGACTGGGCTCTCAGCCTGACGTCGTCCATCTGGACGGAAGCAGGACTGATGCTCATTGCTGTGAGGAAAAGGGAAAAGATAGTTTAGATATGAACATCTACGGTTTCAGCTTTTAAAACACAGGATGAGTTTARTTTTATGACACTGGGTTGAATAATTTAGCTTTAAGGTGTGAGCTCCGACATAAACATATTCAAAAACAATCAGCCCAGAGGAGCTCTTTTAACAATCTCCAACTGGTTGCATTAAGCTTTTTATGATGACTTGTTCCCAAAAGTAGGGCCAGGACCTCATTGTGGGTAAAACCATGGCAAATGGGAATATTGAGACAATCTCCAGTGAACAAGTCAAATTTAAAAAAGGATTACAATTGCATTTAATAATGCTTGTTAAGGCCCTTACCCCACCARAGACAAAAGGTCAATAATGGTTTTACCAATGTTTGTGTGTATTTGTTTGCCTGTTAACAAAATAGCTTATGAACTACTGAAGAATTTTTAATGAAACACTCAGGAAGTAATCAATGGATGTACATCCACAACAGACTAATTTTATTCAATACATCCTCTTCAGCTAATCCACMTTAGCCAACACAAAAAAGCAATAACTTTAAAGAAAGAGACCTCAAATTTGGTGTGGTAGTAATAGTGGTTTTTAGTTGATATTCTGTCTCTACAMTGAAATGAAACTAAAGCAGACTGCTATTTTTCTTTTAGGTGAGCAAACTTGTATATTATTTTCACTAACACACAAGAACATTAAGGAACATTGTGATTTAAAGCATCTCCGTTTATGACAGCAGCAAATTAACAAGGAAACAAGCCTTTTTAGCTGGTTGGAATCATGGTTTTACTTGTTGCTTTTACTTTTGTTTCTGCCTCTRTGTTATCTTTACATGATGTGGCAAATATTGCAGCTATGATCCCTCTGTGAAATAAACTTTAAATWCAAAAAGGTTTGTTTACTGGTAAAACAGGATTTCAAATTCACATCAAAATGTAAAATGAAAGCTAAAACAAGTCTTAGGTTTTATATGGAACTTGTATAATTAGTTTTGTGGAAGAAAACCCATCAGTTTCCCTTTGCTGTCACACCACATGCGTTGCAAATATTAATACTAAATCATCAAGTGRGAATGAGGGGAGAAGTGGGCAACAGCTTTCAACCAAGAAAATGTGAAACCTCAAAAAAAAAAAAAAAATCTAGCCTAAATATTTACACTGAAGGGAAAATCCTGACTAATTTTAGTTTCGGAGGCAAACAGCTGAGAGAGGTCTATCACAGACCGAATTGTTGATTTACACAGAAAAAAAAAACCAGTTTAAATATATAACCGTGTCATGTCAGTTAAGTGTGTTAAAGCCAAAAAAATTAATCAAAGATTATATCACGTCACAGTATCTGAAACCGAAACTTTAAAACTGTTTTACAACAACTAGCTACTTCTTGCTTGCTTCCCGCTGTCAACTGTTTACGCTTCTTTCAAATGTTTTTATTGGTTCCCCGTAAGTAATAATTAGGTTATTAGGTTTCTTACTGTACAAATAAGGTTTTTAAAAAGTGAAGCAGCGGTCTAATACTCACCTTAATGTAATCTGGTCCCGTCCGAAGCTAGCTTTAATGAC